GTCACAAGCTATTTAATCAGTTGTAAACGGTAAAGCCGAAATGATATCCGGATTATATCACATAGCCATGTGACGTATACTCTTTCTGTTCGCTTGTTGGGTCCGATTTCTGTTCTGATCTGCCGTCAAATGGTTCTTCTCTCATCTGTCTATTTGTTAAACATATATGGGTGTACTCAGACTATGTCTTCCTATATTTTGTTGAGCTCGGAAATGATATCGGATGGTTTGTAATATTGAGACCATGTTGAATTGAGAGTGAAGACCGGATGAGGGAAGACCACAAGACATGTCGTAGAAAGACCCTTTGCTCACTCCTTAGCCTTACTTCCCGCGTCTCTGACTATCGTCAGCCAGAAAGATCTACTCTAAAAACATGAAATTGAATAGTGTCACTATAGACTTAGCACAAGGTACTTTAAGAGGAAGGGATGATTGGTGAAGAATTGGGAGTAGAGTGAGAGACTATATGAGAGAGTGCCCACATGGAATCATCAGTTCCAAATGGTCGAGATACACATACAGGCAAGCCACACCAAATCGCGCAACGCACGTACGGTTACTTTTTACGGTGTTAAACGAAAGCGACCAAGGGCTAGTAAAATATAGAAAGAAACTATGACAGACAAGTATGCGTACAACATGAAATAAAGGATCATGGCGGATATGATTCTCACGTCTGACAGTGTATAGGACACTAGGAGATATGTTTAAAGCATGGAACACTGGGATGGAGTGAACTGTTCTGTCGAGGGGAGGACACATTGAATGTCTTCCTCTCCTGACACAAACCTGAGACTTCCACCGTGGAGAGAAGGTACAGAGGGACAGTCCATGCAGAGAAAATGGCCAATAAATAGCATAACTTCTAGAGATCACCTGTGCAAAGTCCCAACAATGCATATCACTAAATACTATGAGATAACACATTGGCATCCGAACGAAATATGACAAAGCCTGAGCGATATGTATTTTATGCCTGCAGAGGAACAAAGCCTCGAGTAACTCATGTACAGGGCAAACACAATGCTGAAACTAGTATGAATTGCTCTGGATTGTGAAAGTCAGGAGGGTGGGAATCTGGCTCTAGAATTTGTGGCATGTCTATATAAATGGGTCATTAGTAAGAGAATCTTATTTTCTAACATTCTGAAGAAGTTGGTGTACTGGACTCGATGCAATGAGAAGAAGCTCCCGAGGAAGAAGAAACAGGACGGTGCCTGAAAGGGTAGGGTATTAACCTCGTTCAAAGACTTACTTTCCAGGACAGTCACTCGATCATAGCCCTAGAGATGCACTATATCTTAGTGGAGGTTGTGGACCAGAGAACACAACAGTGCGATTATAGAATGAAGGACCAAAAGAAGCGTTCCTACACTAGTGTGGCCTTTTGTATAAGGCATCAGCTTAGAGCAAAGTGGCTAAACGTCACAGAGCCACCAGAGCGGATGTGACGCAAACAATTCACGAAGAGGCACTCCCCAGGATATCGCATGATCAGGCCGTGGCCTTTACTCAGAAAGACAAGGGCTTAAATATATTGGGCCCATTCGTCAAGACACGTGTCTTGTGCAGAACGGCTGGTGGACACTCTTGGATGGCGTTGCTCAATCTTTACATTGTAATAGAGTGAGGACGGTGCGAGTGCAGTGTATCGCTTCTCTCTGTGAAGAACAAATTCACAAACACTGGAGTTGGACTCCATCAGGCCATTTGCATTCAGTGTGTCTGAGAGCACATGATGCCTGCAAAAGCCCTGGCCTTACTGAGCTTACAAATGTATATTGTAAGTTAGATTTGGTGGCAATTCCTGGATGTGTGTGGCCCTCTTCTCAGAGTTATGAGTCTGCAGAGGGGACACAGAGCCAGGCCCATCCCATGGAAAGCCCTTTTTAAAAATTCCATTCTCCAGTGCTAAGCACAGGCCCTATCCCCCTGGAAGGCAGAGACCTGGGATTTTTCCACATACCCCAAAGTGATCGATTGGGATATTGGGTGACACCCTAAGCCGATGGACTTGGACTTGGGGAGGGGAAAGCTACAGAGAGCCTGGCCTGTGTCATCACTCTGCACTCCTAGCCCTGGCTTAGCACCAACACCCTTAGAGCAGGTACACGAGGAAGCATTGGTGCACAACCTCCCTTGGTGCACTGCCTCCCTTGGTGCACAGCCTCCCTTCGTGCACAGCCTCCCTTGGCTGGAACTGCAGCACAGAGACATGCTCAGCTTCCTCTACCAACACCTCCGCCTGAGCAATACCCAGGCTGCTCTCAGGTAGAGGGAGGAAACGGGGAAGCAGAGTCAGGGAGATTGCTCCTTGCTGATCTCCGTTCACATCAGGAAGAAAAGAAGATGGGTGGTCAGGCACCGTTTCAAAAGCAAAAGTAGGCCATGGTGTATTTGGTGGAAGCTGAGGGCTTTTGTAATCGCAGTCTGAAATCAAATGCTGCGGTAGGAGGGTTTCAGGGTCAGAGTCATGCTGGGCATGCAGAGTTATAAAGTGGTCATGGTTCTGGAATTCTCTCCCGTGCTCTATCTCTGCTACGGCAGCCTGGAAGTATGCAATGGCTTGTTGCTCTCGGAGCAGGTGAAAGGGTGCTAGAACCACACCCATAGTCCCATATGCTTGCACACGCACACGCACACACACGACCCGTGCCGCCTATGTCAATGAAACCAAAATGCAATCTAGCAGACTTTAAAGGTTTTCTTTAATTGAAGAAATTGTATGTTGAACCACTGAAAATGATCAAAGGAAGATTGAGAAAACCCAAGGAACTGTGAACTCTAAAGCTGATCAGACCAGGAACGTTCTTCCTTTGCTTCAGAGTGTCTGGCAAGCCAGGTGTGTTCTCTGCAGCCATCGCCCCTCAATAGTGACAGTCTAGAGAGTGAAAGACAGGACAGTTGGTGAGTGCATCAGGGAAGGGAGAGCACACAGCTCAGAAGTGGGTGGGCTTGTGTGGTGACAGACCAATCTGCCAGGAGTCTCCTCTTGTAGGATGGGCAGTGTGACAGGGACAGCCACCATGCCAGGGTATTCTCTGGGCCCATTCTCTCCAAACTATTAGAAAGTTTCCAGGGGGACATTTAGGTCACATTAGAAATCCCTCAGTAAGGAAAAGACCAAGCTCTTGGGAGCACCTGGATCTCCTAATGGAAGAAGACTTGGCAAAGCCTCTTCCGTGACCATGGTCTCTCCCTGGTTTGAATAGGGGGGTCTACTCTTATCTGGCCAAATACAGTGTTGGGAAGTAGAGGAAGACAATTGAGGATGGGATCCTCTGAGCTTTTCTGGGGGAGAATGTGGTGGGCAAAACTTGTCACTCATGCCACACCAGCGAAAAGCGAGGGGTGAAGAGGTTGCTGGCCTATGTCCAGGCCCCTCTGCCTCGTGCCCAGCATTCAGTAGCATTCAAAGCCGGGTTAGAACTGCAGCGAAATAAGCAAAGCCACCAAACTGTGCCCAGACTAGGGAGGGGCTGAGACTGAGCTGGGAACATCAGAGGCTCTGACCTTCCCTAAAAGACACTGTCCCTGCAGAAAACCCTCAGGAGCTGCCTTTGAGCTGGCTTGAGGCAAAGGCAGTGTACACACCAGAGTACTTCCTTCCTGATGTGGCCCCTGCTGGACTCCGGGCCCCACCTCACGTTGTGCTGAGGTCTTGGGACAGCTCCCACCCCCTGCCCTGCTTCCACCCATGAAGGACTTGTCCCCCATCTCAGGACCCACGGCCACAATACCTTTCACAGACTCTGGGAAGAAGCACCAAGGCACGTCAGGGATCACGTCGGAAAAGCAGCACTGGCGGGAGGCACACTCCTCGGGGCTGATGCCCGGGTAGCCACAGTTCTCACGAGCTGAGACTTCCATAACACACTCCTCTGATTCTGGTCATGGAAAAGGCAAGGCCAAGACATCATCAGACCAGTGGCCTCCAGTCCTATCCTCCCAGGAGGACAGGACCCTTCAACTTGAACCCATTCCAAAAGTCTCAACCCATATCCTTCACATTTGAGGTCTGCTAGCCAGGTCATTACTGAAAAAAAAAGTCATATTAAAGGCATCCATTCCTCCTTTGGCGTCTTCTTTAGAACTCATGGTTTTAAAGCTAGAAGGCACCTAAGACACTTTTGCCATCAAATGAAGTGAAATGGATAGATTTACAGATCTGTCTGGTGAAAGGGCAGAGGGTCTAGATAGGGACGGAGGAGACATTTGGGGCTCCCTTTTGGTTGGCCTGGGCTAGCTCTAGGCTAACAGCCAGGCCTCTGAGTACCTGCACTGAACTCTGCCCGTGAGCCCATCAACCCAGGAGGAGGATCTGGCTCCCTGAAGATTACCTTGCTCTGGGAGGGGATGGAAACACCAGGGGACCCCAACAATGCTGGAGTCAAAGCAACATCCAAGAGTGAAGCACTGGTCGCTGGTGATGCCCGGGAAGCCACAGTTCTTCCTGTTGTCAGTACTCAACCTTGAGCACTGGCAGGGGGCTGTGGGCAGATCCAAGGTCAATTTCACCCAGTGCTCCAGACCCAACCTCACCCCATACCCACTCAGAGCATCAGGGAACAATGCAGGGTCTTATCTCTCCCAAATTTGAGCTACAGTTTCCTCCTGAGGAACCAACAGGTCTTCTCTGAAATTGTCTTATTAGTTAAAAAGAAGCAACAACAATAACAAAAGTCCTTCTGCAAAGAAGGTGACCTGATGGACCCAGGCAAAGGTCAAGGTGGACAGTGAGCAGGGTGGGGCCCTCCGGCCCCTTCCTCAGTCTGACCCAGTACCTGTAGTCCTTGGCCTTTCTGGAAGGACTGAATAGGGGACTCGTGGACAAGCAGTGTTCGGCAGCATTCAGAGAAGGATGCCTTTTAGCTTCTCCCCTCTCAAGATAACTCAGGATTTTGCAGGGAAAGGAACAGGAAAGACCCAGTATAGCGCTCCACTGAGGCCACAGGGCAGGAGGAGGCCCTGCAGAGGGTGAAGGACTGACTCCTGTCCTCCACATCTGGACACTTACTTGAGTCCCCTGCTCCCTGGCCCAGACAGAAGACTAAGCCCTGTAAGGTCACCCATAGGCATTCACTTACAAGGTTTCTGGCCCCCCACCAGGGCACACAGTCCCAGGATGAGGATCACTGCCAGGAGCCGGGCACTTTGAGGTTCCATGTCTGCTCCACTGCACCCAGGACAACCTGCGGAATGCTTAATCCTACCACCGGCTGTTTTTATCATATTCTGCCTGTTTGTTCAGCAAGCACTGATAACCTTCCCCACCCGCTGCCCCTGGCCCCAGCCCTTCAGATCCTTTGTGAGAAAGAGCTGAGATAGCCCCGCACGGGGGCAGAGAGGAGGTGGAGGAAGCTGTGCTCTATGCAGGCCAGGCCAGACTTCCGGGCAGGGCCCCCTACTGTGGACAGGAATCCTGGTCGTGCCAGGATGCTGACGTGCAAAATGGGCCACGTGTGCCTCTGGAGCTGGGCACTCACAGGGTCACGCCCAGGAAGGGATTAACCATGTGGGACTCCAGATAAAGTATGTGACTACCACAGGAATTTTGCAAAATATTTGGACCAAGGCCACTGGGGCACAGGAATGGCACAAGGAAGGGCAGCCTAGAGGAGACCCCTGCAAGGGATGAGAGAATTTCAGAGGGTGGTAGGAGACCTGGTTAGCATGTCTCACTGCAGCACAGGTCCTGTCTCCCCTGGTCCCTCTTAGACTTGACATTGCTCTCCATGGAGACAGCTGACTAAGCATCGTGAGCAGCCTGAGAAGTTTAAGTTCATTACCAGCAAGCCCTGAAGTGGACCATCCCACCTTCCATGGGAATTCTACATATTTCCTCAGATCTTTGCCCCTGACCCACACCTAGGGGTGAGATCTAGAGAAGCGGGGGTCCAAGGATTTGACAGAGAGAGGATAGCCACAGGGTGACATCCAAAATGAATGGTGGAGAAGAAGAGAAAGTTCCTCTGTTGAGCAGTCAGTGACCCAAAGACTTGGAAAGCCAAAAATCTTGGTCTAAAAGCCAGCATTGTCCTGGAGTATAGAGAGAGCAGGTCTACATCCTTGGCCTTTGACCAGACTTAGCCTGATCCCTGTGGACTGTGCCTACTTCCACCCATAGAACAGCCAAGGAATGCAGTCCTTGAAAACCTGGGAAGGATCCAATTCTCCAGCCCATATCCCCATCACCTTTAGTCACCAAGGTGGAAGTGACATCAGTCTCCCATTCTCTCCAGGATTCTCATCTCCACCTCCCCCACACCTTACGCCTAAAATGCTATAAAATGACAGTTGCAGATATAGACTAGCATGATGTGCCCCAGTGATCTCTGGGGGAAGGCGCACGAGGTGAGCTGAGGCCCAGCATGCCCTGTTTCCTGCTAGAGGTGAGGAGACCACACAGGACATAGTAGCCTCACTGGGGTGAAAAGGCAGAGGCAGAAACTAGGGACCCCCATGGCAGCTGGATTTTCAAGGTAGGAGGGGTAAGAAAAAGGAGCCCCAGAGTACAAATGGGAGTCACTTAGTCAAATTCTCAGCTGTCAGGGCCCCTAAGGACACCAAAGCAGCTGTTGGGGAAGGGGCAGTTGCTGAATGCCTATGCATTCAGTATGGCTGAGATTGTGTGGGCTCTGAATAGCCTGAGAACAAAACATGACAAGAACCCCCACATTTGGGAGGCACAAAGGCATGCTGTAGGAGCAGACCATTCTCTTCCAAGTGAAAGGGCTCTAGACCCATTTTAACACAACTTTAAAGGAGGCCTTGAGAGAATCAAGTTCATCTGTAAGTAAACTAACTGCTTGAGTTAGTTTTCTGAAGTTACCATGACAACATTCCACAGACTGGAGGCTTCAGCCACAGAAATGTATGTTTTTGAGAAACTGCAGGCTAGAAATCCAATATCAGGCTGTCCCAGGGCTGGGTCCTTCTGAGGCCTCTCCCCTTGGCCTGCAGATGGGGTCCTCTCCCAGTGTCCTAATCCATTGTCTCTTTGGGAAAGCATACCACTGGTGTCCCTTTTCTTATAAGGACCCTCGTCAGATTGGATCAGGGCCTACCTTAACAGGCACATTTTCCTGAATTTCTTCTCTAAGACCCCATTTCCCAATGCAGTCACATTCTGAGATTCTGGAGGTTAGGGTCTGTCTCTGAGGATACAGAGTTCTACCAATAACATGGCCTGAGTGAACAAAGTGCAATGCTTTATTAAGGAAGCTGAAAAGACCCAGGTGTAAGTACAGCATCTGTAATGTGTAACACAAAACTCAAAACTTACTTGACATGTGAGTGAGCAGGAAATTATGTCCACTAAAGATCAGCCCATGGGAACAAATTCGGAACTGGCACAAAAGCTGCTGAGCAAAGCAGTGCAAACCCATAATCCCAGACCTTGGGAAGCTGAGGCAGGCGTCTCTCAAGTTCAATGCCAACCTGGGGCAAAGAGGGAGACCTTATCTCAAATAAAAGAAAGAAATGACCCAATAATATTCATACAGTATTTAAAAAACACAAACATTTAATGAAACAACGACAACAACCAAAAGGAATCTCAAAAGAGAGTTGAAAAGTAAAAAAGGCACCAGGTGAAAATCCTAAAATAACAAAATACATCTGAAGTGGAAAATTCACTGTGCGGGCTTTAGATTGGATTTTAATAGTAGACACTGAAGATGAAAGGCTGGCTTACTCAAAGCCAGTGTAATATAAACTATCCAAATGAAAGCACAGAGAGAAAAGGGCTCTGAAAAATGAACAGAATTCCAATGACTTCTGAGACAATGTCAATCAAGCAGTCTCCCCTACATGTAATCCATATACTGGAAAGAGAGAAGAGGAAAAGCATTTGAAGATATATTGGTCAGATGTCTTGTAAACTTGATAAGAGGTATAAATCCAATAACTCAAATAACTTCAAGGAAGATAAATGAAAAAAAAATTGAAGCACAGTGTGATCAAATTGTTGAAAATCATTGATCAAGAAAATTCTTACCCAAGCATGGTGATTCCTATCTATAATCTCAACTACTCAGGAGGCAGAGGTAAGAGAATCTTGAGTTCAAGTCCAGTCCAGGCAAAGGTAGTGTTGAGACTCTGTCATAAGTAATGCACCTGTGTACCAAGATAGTATAATGTAATACACTGTAAACTGCTGAATAACAGAACAGGTGATAGAGAAAGTAATAGAGGGGTTTAATCTGATAAAGCACGATATATACATGTCTGAAATACCAGGGCAAACCCCCTTGAACAATCAGTATACACTTAAAAAAGTCTCGTCGGGGGGTGAGAATCAGTGGGAGGGGGAGGGTAAACAGAGAGGGTGAAAGTGGGTGAATATGGTGGACGTGTTTCCTATTCATGTAGGAAAATAGAACAATGAAACTTATTAACATTGTTCTTAGAAAGAGGAGGGGGGGATGTGGCACAATGATGAAGGAGGTGACTCTAATTAAGATAGATTGTAAGCACATACACAAATGTCACAATGAATTCCTCCTGTACCACTATTGTATGCAAATAAATTTTAAGAAAGGGAAGAAAAATAAAAGGTTTGGGGCATAGCTTAAGTGGTAGAGTGCTTGCTTAGCATGCACAAGGCTCTAGGTTCAATCCCAACACCTTAAAAAAAAAAGCAGCTGGAGAGAAATGCATATGGCAAAAGGCAAACATAGGAATGACAACTCTCTTTTCTCTGAAACAATGCGAACCAGGGGTGATGGAATGGTATATTTAAAATAGTGGGAAAAGTCAAAATGCTCCACTCCATGAAAATATCCCTCAAATAGGATGCTGTTTTCACATGAACAAAAGAGAAGCCATCACTTTTAAGACTGTCCTCCAAGGAACCTCAGAGGAAATTCAGGCTGAAGTTATGGCCAGCCCTTAACAGAGGGTGTGAATTCTCCAGGTTGCCCCAGCCAGTTCTCCTCTGACTAGATTTTCTCAGTGCTGGCATTTGCTCACCCTTCATTAGCCCTCTCTTCTACAGCTCAATCAAGTCTGAGTGGTTTCTCGTTCGGTTTGCTGCATCTGTCTCCTAACTAGTTTCTCAAACACAGCAAAAACCTGCCTTGATTATCTTTATGAAATGAATGTCTGTGTTGCTCCCTAGTACCCCACAGACTGTAGGGGACAGACCAAACGCCTAACTGCAAAAAGCAAGACCCTTTGTGCATTCATTCCACACGCCCCTACTCTTTCTTCTTCTATTGCCACTCTGGTTCACATCGGCATCTGGCCTTCTGGAAACACTTCCTCATCTTTCACCCTTGCCGTGTGCCCCTCCCTCTGTGTAACCCTTCCACATCTCACAGCCTCCCATGTTCCTTGATGTGTGACAGGAGTCACTTCTTCCTTCGCTTGCTCCAGAGAGAAGAGAGGTACCCATCACTCTCCCCACAGCACCTTTTGTCCAGAACGAATTTTTACTTCTCTAGTTGCTGCTTTAATTTTACCCAAGACAGCAACTGACACTTGCTTTCAGCCTACCAGGCAATATTTTAAGGGTTTCAGATGCTGTATTTCATTTAATCCTTACAACGATTCAGAGAGACTAAAATGGCAATTCCCACTTTAAAATCTAGATAGGTGAAATAGTGTGCCCAAATAATACAGCAAAACCAGTGTAGAGTGAGAGCACAGCCAGACCTATTGCTCGTTTGCAGTGGATCCCCAGAACCCAATGTCATGCCCAGCTCATGGTAGTCTTGCCTAGTAGGGAGGGGACTGGCGAAGTGGATGACTGGTCTCCAGGAGTTTGGAGAAAGGAACTGGGCACCTTGTGTTGCTTGTTAACCAAATCGCCTTTCGAGTTCATAAAACACATCTAGAGTGGATGAGAAATATATGCAAATGAATGAGGCAAGTACCCCCTTCCCTGGCTTTTCTCCTCATCTGTGAACACCAAGGTGGAGAGGGAACTTATCAATAGCTCTTTCACCTCATAGAACCAGTCTATAAGACCTCATTTTCATTCTATCATCAGGGGAAAAATCACTTTATTACCCAAATTCACTTGCTCAGCATCCCTAAAGTCGGTGGGGAAAGATGGCTGATGTCCACACCCAAGTTCCCTTTCCAGCCTCTGGGTTTCTCAAGTTTTGCTGTGCTGGCCAACAGCCCAGGATTCAGTACACAATAGGGAACTTGACCAAAGC